CACAGGCCTGGGTTAGGGGAGGCTTAGCCTCTCCTGGCCTACGATGCCCACTGCCCATGGTATTCAGTCAGTTTTCAGTCTAAGTCTTTCGCTTTCCCTCAGACATAGTCCATAGACCCCAGGTTGAGAATCACTGTTTTATTGGACCAACTTCTGTTGGTGAGAGAGACAAGCTTTCAAGCTTACACAGAGCTCTTCTTCAGGTTTGGGGAATTAATCAGAGTGTCGCTACAAAATACAAGGTGGAACAGATTGTTTTGCATAAGTAGTTAACACATATTTCAAGGTTAACGTTAACACCCCTGCAGTCATAGAGAGGAAAGAAAAGGGGGGAAGCAGCTGGGGAGGGTTGTAAGTGGGTTATACATTATTGTAACAAGCCATAAATCTAGTGTCTCTATTCAGTCCATGATTTTTAGTAGCTCCCAGGCTCTCCTTTTGAAAGTGTGTTGTGCAGGTTTCCTTTGAGGATGAGGCCTGAGAGGTCAGATATAGAGTGATCACTTTGTGAAAAGTGTTCACCCACAGGTGATAAGGTGTTTTTGTCTTTTATCATTTTCCTGTGTGAGTTCATTTGAGAGCAGAGTGATTGTTTGGTTTCACCCACATAGTGTTATTGGGGCATTTAGTGCACTGCGTGAGGTACACCACATGTTGTGATAGGCATGTGTAGGACTCATGGATCTTGAAAAGTGTGTTGTAGGGGGTGTTGAGCATTGTAGTAGTGGAGATATGTCTGCATAAAAGATATTATCTCACCCATCTTGTCTATAATATCCTGGGGCCAATACAGCTACAACACTGCATAAATCTTATTTGTTAGTCAAGTACTCTACAAATCTTTTTAGGGTTCTTTAGGAAGGAGAGCTGCCATCAAGTCAACTTCCATAAACAGCCAGATGAGTGACAGCAGTTCTAGAAATATAAGATGCATATTGAGCAGTCCCCTAATGGGAAGCCAACATCTGAAAGGCTCTCTGGAACGGTCACTTCCATTTCCCATCCAGACTGCCTGGAGAGAGATTAGATTCAAGAGGCATGGTGGAAGTTTTGTCCAGGATGCTACTACCACTGTACCTACTATGGGTGCTGCCAGCTCTTTGAATGTCACCGAGTAGCCTATAGTGCCTTTTGGCCTGTCTGGCTATTGGAGACTGGATGGCAGGAGATTTCCAAACAAATTCACTAATTTTTTGTTTACTTTTTATTTTATTATTAACATACATAAACTTTCTAGACAAGTATTAACAAATCTTATTCATCTGTATTTAAGGAACTATTTGTGTTTGGTCAACCTCTTATTATCTGTGTATTTATTTTGTTCCGTTTCTAAAAATGATAACCATACATGATCAAAATCCATTTGATCCTGATATGTGTGTCATTTTTTTTATTGTCCCCAAGTCAATGACCTCCCTTGATCTGTAACCTAATAGAACCACTATGGAGTTTGTGGGTAGCCTGACTTTAGTTCTCCTTCAGCTGTGTCAGTATGAATCCCACTGTCGGTATGCCTGCACCTCGTGCGTGCGAGCTGGGAATTGTTTGAATAGCTGTGTCTATCAGGGCCACACATGCACCAAGGGCCTCTTTGTGCTCATACAAGGGCATAAAGAGCAAGGTGGTCATGGCCCTCCTTTAGTCCCCATTTACTGTCCTGTGGCAGTGAGACTGAACCTGGACTCTCCAACCCACTATGGCTTATGTGTAAGGTAGTACTTCTGTCTTTGATGGAACCCTCATTTGAGCCTTTGTTCTTTATATCATAGCATGTGCTTTTTACCATGTTCTTTATACTCTATACTTTTGTTTGGAGAGTGAGTGAGATTCGGACATTAATGGCAGGACCACCTTATACTTCCGTCCTAAGTGCAGGACTCTGCACTTGTCCTTGTTGAACCTCATCAGGTTTCTTTTGGCCCAATTCTCTAATTTGTCTAGGTCCCTCTGTATCCTATCCCTACCCTCCAGCGTATCTACCACGCCTCCCAGTTTAGTGTCATCTTCAAACTTGCTGAGGGTGCTGTCCACGCCATCCCCCAGATCATTAATGAAGATATTGAACAAAACCGGCCCCAGGACCGACCCTTGGGGTACTCTGCTTGATACCGGCTGCCAACTAGACATGGAGCCATTGATCACTGCTACAGACTAGGGACCGAGTGGCTAGGCAGCAGTTCTGCAGAAAAGGACCTAGGGGTCACAGTGGACGAGAAGCTGAATATGAGTCAACAGTGTGCCCCTGTTGTCAAGAAGGCATTTTGGGCTGTGTAAGTAGGAGCATTGCCAGCAGATTGAGGGACATGATCATTCCCCTCTATTCAGCATTGGTGAGGCCTCATCTGGAGTACTGTGTCCAGTTTTGGGCCCCACACTACAAGAAGGATGTGGAAAAATTGGAAAGAGTCCAGCGGAGGGCAACAAAAATGATTAGGGGGCTGGAGCACATGACTTATGAGGAGAGGCTGAGGGAACTGGGGTAATTTAGTCTGCCGAAGAGAAGAATGAGGGGGGGATTTGATAGCTGCTTTCAACTACCTGAAAGGGGGTTCCAAAGAGGATGGAGCTCGGCTGTTCTCAGTGGTGGCGGATGACAGAACAAGGAGTAATGGTCTCAAGTTGCAGTGGTGGAGGTTTAGGTTGGATATTAGGAAACACTATTTCACTAGGAGGGTGGTGAAGCACTGGAATGGGTTACCTAGAGAGGTGGTGGAATCTCCTTCCTTAGAGGTTTTTAAGGTCAGGCTTGACAAAGCCCTGGCTGGGATGATTTAGTTGGGGATTGGTCCTGCTTTGAGCAGGGGGTTGGACTAGATACCTTCTGAGGTCCCTTCCAACCCTGGTATTCTATGATTTTCTATGATTATACTATTTTTCACAAGGACAGAGTTACTCTTTGACCTCGTGCAAAATTTCTACCCAAAGTAGTTTCAAAAGTACACTTGAATCTTGAAACAAGATGTATTTACCAGTGTTTTTTTCCTAGGCTTCACTCGTCTCCTGCAGATGCAAATCTCCGTGCATCTGATGTATTGAGAGCCCTTTCCTCCTATCTCCATAGGACAAAGTCTTTATGCAACTCTCCCAGACTGTTATAGCTGTTAGAGGCATGTCTAGAGGGCAGGGTATTTCCACTCATAGACTCTTGAAGTAGGTGTCAAACTGTATCAGTATTTCATATGCATTGAATAAATTAGCTCCTTCTCAGATCAAAGTGAACTCGAGAGATCAGGCAGGCTCCTTAACTTAACCAAAATCTGTTGGGCAGCTACTTGGAACTCAATACGAATTTTTACTAATCATTATTCCTTTGTAACAACTCTAGATTTGACTCCCAATTTGGCATGGCAGTCCTACAGTCCCTATTTAAGTAGAACTTCTGGCACCCACTTCCTTAGAGAGACAACTGCTAGCCAATCACCTCGAGTGGGATCTCTGTGAACATATAGTGGAAGAAATAAAAACGATTACTTACCTTACATTAACTGTGGTTCTTTGAGATGTTTTGTCCACAGGGATCCCATGACCCACTCTGCTTCCCCAAGAATGTGATGTTCTCTAGCTTTGGGATTCTTTATTGGTGAAGGAACTGAGTGACATTTGGGTCTGCTCCATTCTTTATGCACTCTGTTGAGGGGTGCAAGACCTGCAGGGATTGGTGTGGCCCCAGTGGATACTGTTTAGTAGAAAAGAATCCAATCTCATGATGTTGGGGTGCATGCACCCTTAGAGTGAGATCTGTGTGGGGGAAACATCTTGAAGAGCCACATTTGCTGAAAGGTAAAAAACCGTTTTTTAATTTGAAAGTTCTATTTATAATTTTCTTCAAATACTATAATTGTAGGGCGTTCCCACCAGATATGCAGAAAAAAACCCTAGTCCTCCACCTCCTCTACAGCATTTATGACTCCCTTTTTGATATATTTTCTTTAGCTTAAATGGAGTGAGGGACCAATGATAAAGTAGCTTGTAGTAATTTTCCTTAATGGTTACACAATTAGGTGCGGCTTTGTCTTTACTCCAGTTATTTTTCCATTGTTCCAAAGAGAGATTTGTTTTTAGATCCTTTTCCCATTTTTCCGTAAAGGGAATCTTATCGTTTAGAGCTATCAGTAACATCCATTATACCATACTGAGATCAGGTCCTTTCCCATAATTAGTGTTTCTATCCTGAATTAATGGTCTCCTGAAACTTGAGGTACCTAAAAAGGAAATTCACTATTTTTTAACGGGCAGCTGTACTGGTAGGGATTTTTCTGCCAAAGAAAATGGAACCGTTCTCCCCTTCCTTCTTTTGGATTTCTACCGTGGACCTCATCTTTAAGGTCAAAGTCATGTGGTCCACCATGTAGTCTGAGTCCTGAAAAGAAACTGTGATTATGGATTCTGGGGAAAGAGGTGCCTACATTTTCCCCACTGGTGCAGCGAACTATCTCAAAATCTGAAGAGTTCTCTGCTCCATTTAATATGTCGATGGATAATGAAAATGACCAAGTTAAATTAGATAGTCTGATGTCTGTGATATAAATCCTCATGCTTCAGGTCATAAGCCCACACCATGTGATGGTGGCTAGGAAAAACCTTCACCTGTAGGCAGGTTATTCTATAAATGCCCACTGTGGGGTTTCTTGCACTTACCTTTGAAGCATCTGGTATTCTTCACTGTCAGGGAAAAAATACTGGACTAGATGGTCATGTGGCCCTTTAATCCTTGTCTTGGCTCTTCTCTGAACCCTCTACAGTTTATCAACATCCCTCTTGAATTGTGGACACCAGAACTGGTATTGACTTCTGTGAGCTTTGGATCTGGGACCTCATAATATAGGAGGAATGTGAGGGCTACCATTCATATGTTCAAAATACCCATATCATGAATATTTGCATAAAGTGCCTGAATTTTATTCTTTCCTTAAGTGCTTTGTACAAAATCGTTTACAGACATTGAGCCAAAACATAGAAAATTAAACAGTTTGGAAATTCAGTGTTATTTCCCTTTACAGGCTCAAGCAGCAAGCTCCCCACACTCCTCACCTACCCATGGAGCCAGTCGCCCAATGCCAATGCCGGTCAGAGCCACTTCCACTGGCTCTACCCCAACGCACGTACCTCAGGACTCACTTGCGGGAGTCGGGGGAGATGTGCAGGAAGCTTTTGCACAAGGTGAGTGTAGCACAAACCAAAACCCCTGCTATTGCCAAACACTGAAATGATTGATTATCACACAAATATAATACAGCAATTTTAATATGATTTTCACTGATATTATTTCACTTGGACTATGCCAGAGCAGAATGGAAGTATACTTTTAATCTACAGGATTAGACGACACAAGTATTAACAAAAATAGTTGTGTGACCTAATCCTGGCCTCCCAATTTTTCAGCCACCATTTTGTGCACGTGAATAATTAGACACTTAAACATTACCCAGCTGCACCCACAAATCAGGTAAGTAAACTTCATGTCACAGTGCTGTGAATTGAGCACAAAATGGGAGACCACTTACTAAAATTTGGCCCAGAGGATGCAGAGAGGGACAGAATGGTAGCCATCAGGAAAAAATAAACAGCACTCTCAATCAGAGTGTTCAGCTAATATTCACCTTGTTGTAAGTTGATTACTAGGTTTAAAAAAAAAGTTGAAATTTTGGACTGCAAATAAGTGAATGCTAAACTGAATGTAGCCCTTAACAAGTATGCAAATCTCTGAACAGGCAAACACTCTGGTATAAACCTAAAAGTGTCAAAACACTGTGTGGCGAGGGGAGGACAAGAGTAAAAACCAACCAAACAATGAGAAATAAAAAAACAAAGCAGTGGACAAAATTAAAAAGTGGACGGTCACATATCCCCTCCGCAGCGAAACTGTAAGGAGATGACAAGTCGTACCAATTGCTACCACGAGGGCACAATTAGTTTTATGCACATCTAGTGCCGTGTTGCTTGGTGGTCAGTGTAGCTACTAAGTGTCCGTGTCAAATGCATCAATTGTATGATTCAGTCTTCACCTCAAGACAGAGTCTGTGAACATAGACCTCACTATGACGATGGTGTCATGTTTGTTAGTTTTTCAAATGAAGATTGCCGAGACTATATTCTTCCTCACCTAGACTGGCTTCTGCCTGAGGGGGCTAAGAAAAAGGCAAAGGAAATTACAGCAGAGAGGCAGTAAGTGGCTAAAAAGTCTCTTGTTCGAAACATAATACCTTTGGTACCAAACTAACCCTTTGAGGAGAATATACTGATTAAAGGGTTCATTCCCCATGATATCCAGCAAAATCTGAGGTTCTGTTACTTGAAGACCAGAACCTCCTTAGTCAATACACAGATGAGACCTTGGAAGACGTCAGCCCTACAAACCTTGGGCCCCTGCAATTCACTTGTAAGAAGAATGTGTCGTTCCGATTCCAGCAGTAGGATTAGCTCCTCGTCCCTCTGAACACTTCCAGAAACAAAAGCAGAAGCAGGCATTCCCAGGGAGGTATTGTGCCAAATACCAGAGGCATAGCACTCCATCTGTTGCCGTGGGTGGTCCAGTTGCTTCTTCTTAGCCTCTGCGGCAAGTTTGAGTACAGTTGAGAGCTCCCAACTGCTTTCTTTGGCAACTGGTTTCCTTTCCCCTTTGCAGATTGACTTGTTTCCAGGCAGCATGAAGTAGAACAATAGTACAGTGGGTCCTACAAGGTATTCAAAATCTACCATACAACAGCTTGGAGTCACTAGCGATGATGCCGCTATAGAATCAAGTAACTCACAGGCTCTGTCTGAAGTCCAAGAATGCTTGCCAAAAGAGTTTCATTTTAACTCAAAATTTTCACCAAACTTTTACATTATTTTTGCTAGCTTGTGCTGCTACTGGGTTCTTGCAGATGTATGTGCATAGGAAGGAAGGTTTTCCTTCGGCTCTTCACCGAGGTTCCACCGCGTTTTCTCCCTTGCCACTCCAGGAAGCAGTCAGCATGGCAGACCAATGAGAAAAAAAGCAAAAGCAAGGTCTCTTCTACCTGTAACATCCTCTCTATTAGAGCTAATGGAGAAAGATCTCTGCTTGTTTTGCGGGACCAGAGAAGGGAACCTTTTTTGAGAAATGGTTGTTAGCATTTCCTGCCAGCGTGATCCTCAGACAAGACAAGACTCCTCCTTAGATGATCTCTTGGTCTTAGAGTCAAGACACAGGAGAGGGCTTGTTAATAATATCAAAGTATACAGGTTCCTGATAAACAGGGAAAAGATCAGCTGTATCATCAACCCAGTTCATTGTGCACCTGGGAGCATGGATAGACTCTCAGTCCCAGAATCTTTATTTCCTCAGCATATGTGCTGACTCCGTGAGTGCTCTGGGGCTGGAGCACCCATGGGGAAAAACAATAGTGGGTGCTCAGTAACCACCAGCCACAGTTGTTTGGATGCTGGCGGAGAGCAGCGAGCAGTAGGTGAGGGCCTCAGGGAGAGGGCAGAGTATGGACGGGAAGAGGCAGAGCGAGGGTGGGCTTCGGGAAGGAAGGCAGAGTGAGGGAGCCTCGGGGGTGGGGCGGAGCAGGGTGGGAAGAGGCAGAGCGAGAGTGGGGCCTCGGGAAGGAAGGCAGAGTGAGGGGGGCCTCGGGAGAGGCGGAGTAGGGTGGGAAGAGGCGGAGTGAGGGCAGGCCTTGGGGAACGGGGTGGAGTGGGCCAAGGCCTCGGTGTGGCGCACTCCCAGGGAAACCTAAAAGTTTGTGTCTATGCTCCTCAGAGAGGCAACAGAAGACAATAAGAGCTATCCAAAAAGTGCAAAATGCAGGTGTCCGTGCTACAAACCCTGCCTCCCCTCTTGGTATTGCTAATCTCTTGCACAGGCATTAAGGATCAGGTTTCACATGAGGTTTTTTTGCACAACATAATTTGCTCATTGCCCCTGTGCTTACCCAACCTGTGGCAAAGGTTCAGGTTTCCCCAGCGGTGAACAGGATCCTGCAGTGGTGGATGACAGGACACAGATTTTCAAGAAGTTTGCAAATCTTGGAACCAAGCATGCCAATCATCACAATAGATGCCAATTTGGAGCACTAGGGAGCCTGCTATCCACTGGAGCCTTGTCCATCAGGAAAGAGAGTTACTCCATCAGTCACTGGAAAGAAGAACTATACACAAGGGACTGGAAGCATTTTCATGGATGGTGTGTGTGTATATACACAAATGGAAGCACCGGATCGCTGGACTTCAAAGAGAAGCAAACTACTCTTGTCTTGGGCAAAGAAACACTTGACCATGCTGATGTGGTCCACCTGTGCTGTCCATGTAATTGGAAAATATAGTGTAACAGCATATTGGCTAAGCAGACAATCGATCCACCAAGCAGGGAGCCACTCCAGGATATAAGAACATAAGAACGGCCATACTGGGTCAGACCAATGGTCCATCTAGCCCAGTACCCTGTCTTCCGACAGTGGCCAGTGCCAGGTGCCCCAGAGGGAATGAACAGAACATCAAGTGATCCATCCCCTGTTGCCCATTCCCAGCTTCTGGAAAACAGAGGCTAGGGACACCATCCCTGCCCAGCCTGGCTAATAGCCATTGATGGACCTATCCTCCATGAATTTATCTAATTCTTTTTTTAATCCTGTTATAGTCTTGGCCTTCACAACATCCTCTGGCAAGAAGTTCCACAGGTTGACTGTGTGGTGTGTGAAAAAATACTTCCTTTTGTTTGTTTTAAACCTGCTGCCTATTAATTTCATTTGGTGACCCCTAGTTCTTGTGTTATGAGAAGGAGTAAATAACACTTCCTTATTTACTTTCTCCACACCCGTCATGATTTTATAGATCTCTATCATATCCCCCCTTAGTTGTCTCTTTTCCAAGCTGAAAAGTCCCAGTCTTATTAATCTCTCCTCATATGGAAGCCGTTCCAGACCCCTAATCATTTTTGTTGCCCTTTTCTGAAGCTTTTCCAATTCCAGTATCTCTTTTTTGAGATGAGGCGACCACATCTGCACTCAATATAATATTTTCTGTCTTATTATCTATCCCTTTCTTAATGATTCCCAACATCCTGTTTGCTTTTTTGACTGCCGCTGCACATCGAGTGGATGTTTTTAGAGAACTATCCACAATGACTCCAAGATCTCTTTCTTGAGTGGTAACAGCTAATTTAGACCC